TTTTCCTCTCAAAGAAAGGTTTTAAAAAGTGGTGTCAAATTTAAGCAAGCAGTCTGACAGCTGCTGTCATTTGAAACATATCAGTTCTTCATCACAACATATCAGTTCTTCATCACTACATAAAGATGCTAAAGGATCCATTTCCAAGTGAGTTTGTGCAGGGACAAATTTTTAAACACTTTATAGTAATAGTTCAAGCCAGTTGGTTAAATTGTATTGATCCAAAAGGCTTGGCACCTTGCAGAAGATTACACACCAATTTTCTTCTCTGCAATGAAAATAAGAGATTAAAATAAGCATTATAATTTAAAGATTTTGCTGGAGAATTTATTTTTAATTCGGATAAAAATATGTTCTTTCCATTCATATTAAAAGCTAAATCTTCTGCTTTATTATCCATAACATTTTATTGGAGAAATAGCAGTTTTGCTAATAAACTTCTTTCTCCTTTTATAAACAATTAAATGAAAGCTAACCTAGCAATATCCTGCAAGAGAGTTGCTTTTAAGCAGCATCATTAAAGTGCTAAGTACAAAAAAGTCACACAGCAAATCAAATCAAGTTATTCACAAGCTTTTTTAAAGAACGATTTAAACAATACAGTTTCACAAACTATTCTGGTATGTTACTTATGGGGACACAGAGGTGAAGTACAAACACCAGCTGTCTGACTTTGCTTTGCTATTTTTCCAAAGCATGTCCCATCACTGCAGTTCAGCACCAGGCACATCAAGGCAGAAAAGCAGCCCTTTCAACATTTTATCACAGAAGTTGATGAGAAGCTGACACTTTGTCACTGACAAAGCAATATTGTAATAATCATGAACACATAGTCATTTGCTTACTGCATGCCATTGCAGGTATTCCCTATAGCAGCCTACAAGATTAACTGGAAGCTGTGCAAAGCTGCAGCAGGCACCTGTGGATGTGAGGCTCACGGTACCTTTAGTCATGAAGTATAGAAGCACTCCCTTAATGAGCAGGTAAATGAATCCAGTGCCAGAGTAAACTAACAGACTATGTAAGAAACAGATGTGTATGGTGACTGAAAAAATTCTAAATATCTCAGCATCAAAAGAATAAAGATGTTTATACTTTTATTGTGTTGGTTTTGCTTTTGCCCCAGTCTGGATAGCAGATTGCATTTCCAGTATAAATGTTCTAGTTTCCAATTAGAGGGTAATTGTGAGTTTGGATAAATAAGATGCATGTAGCAAATTATAGAATATTTGTGACAGGGTTGATGTAGAAGCTGAAAATGTCCTTCAACACCCTTTAAAAAGGGCTTTTCTACTTTTTAAATGCATTATTTTCTCAAGAGAGATATAAGATTGGCAGATTAGTAAATTTTACAGATTTGCAACAAACTTGAGTAAAAGAAATTATACATGTTCCTGTAGGTGTTCCCAGATGTAGGGCATTGTTTCCTGCAGAGAAAACAGCACAATGTTGGGTGTATCAGATTCCTCCCAAATACACAGCAAGCAGCACTTTCAGTTCATTGTACCCTAGTCATAACCAGCAGAACTTCAGTCTAAAACACCCGTACACAGACTGACAGAGCATCGCAGCACTTGTCTCACTTTTTCAGACTTGTAAAAATGCATTAAATCTGATTTCAATTTATTTTTTGCAACAATTCACCAAAAATAACAGGTGTGCAACTGTAATGAGGCAAAGTTTTGCAACTAGCTGTTTTCTTATATTCTAGTACAAAGAGAATGGATTAAAAGCAATAATGATGAGATGTTCTGTAAATATGATAATAGTTTATCAGGAATAGCTCATTAACTTCAAAGAACATTGGGACAAATAGTGTGAAGCTCAACTACACTAATGTGAAAGCCAGACTTTCCACGAATTACTCCGCTTACACTTTGATCCCTTTGTCAACACCTCTTATTGAAAAAGATGATCAATTCCCACTTCTTCCTAACTATTTGTTTTGCAAATTTCAACATCATTCCTAGCATTCCACTTTACAGCGTAGATTTTTGGGCTGCAGATATTAAAAAACCTGCTATCTAGAGAATACAGAATACCTTTAACAACATACTTTTGTTTTGTTTTGTTTTTAAGTTCCTGAATTTGGGAGAAAAAAAACTTTTCAGTTCTCACATCATCAAATGAAGCATTTTTCTTGCAAACAGTTGGGCAGAGATCAACAGTCCACCTAATTTTTACTACTGCTTACTTTTGTCAAGGTAGATCGAATTGTTTGTTTTTTGTTTTTTACACTAGTTGATCAAAACATTTTTTAATAAAAAAAGAAAAAAATTTAGATCAACAAATCAGTACATTATTTCCAACAGTAAGTTCTTTTCAATCTTGTCTACATTACTTTAATACTGTTTTTATAATTAGTCACCGTAACGTAACACACACAACAAATAAAAATTCCAAAAACGTTTAATCTTTGACATAAACATTATATGCAGGAAGATTTGGAAGAGATATCTGCAGTGTCAAACTGGGTAACAAAGTTGGAGCCAGCCCACGAGGAAGTGACTCAGGTGAGTTGTAGGCAAAAGACGAAAATGTTACATTGCTCTCTCAGGCGGTGCCCTTTTTTCTCTTATAGTTCTAATTAACTTTTTTTTTAAAAAAAGGTCAAAGAGAACTGCACTGAATGGGATTTGCCAATTAACAGATGAGTCCCTAAAAAAAATAAAATTGTTTGGACAGAAAAAGATTGAAAAAAAGGTATGTAAAGGAAATACATGGAAGCATTGCTACAGTACCTTGAGGCCCTTCTGATTTTCTTTCTTAAGTATCATCGACTTAAGTGCATCCCAAATTACTGATGGTTGTTTTATAAAATCACCATTTTGTAAGATTTACATCCAAGAAGAGAACTTTATTGGATGAGAATTAGTGATGGAATGTAAGCAGAATATTTCTATACAGTTATGAAGAAAATCCATAGGATAGTGTTTTTTCTACAATAAATACTGATAGGTCACGAACACTTAAAATTAAAAAAATATATAATTTCAGGTTTACTTTTGTATTCCATTCTTTTTCTCCTGAAGTGTGCTAATAAAATGAAATTATTCTGGGAAAAGCCTTAACTAGACTAAGGCCACATAAAATAATCTAGTCCAGAAAATTGACAAGTTATCTCACTGTATCAAGGAGGAGAGTCACAACACATCAGAACTAGAAGACAGATATGCACACAAAATGTTTTATTTTCATTTTCTATCAAGAGCACTATAGGCAGTTCATCCATTTGCAAAAATTTTAAATAAGATTTATAAAAATTCAAATGCAGTTTATCTGCCCTTTACTAATCACTCAGATGTGCCCATTCATGAACAAATCACTGCCAGTGGAGACTCCCTGCTGTTCTGCATACGCATCTATGATTCACGTTCTTTATGCAAGTTAAATAACACCACAAAGACTGGAAAAATCTACAGGAAAATCAGAAGCAGAGGTTAAGAAATAACAAAAAGTAGGTGGAAGTAAAATAAGAGGCCTGAGAAAACTTGTACTGCCCGAGGTAAAAATGTACTGATGTTCTTGCTTATGAACTGAATTTGTTTTTATACCCATCAAGGAAAAGGTGTCTTCTGAACTTGCATACAGTTAACAACTCAAAGTAAAAACCTTTATGACAGAAGGACACCTACACAAGGGAAAGTAGGACAAGGCAAACTGTATGAAAGAATAAGACAATATTCAGTTTAGGTGTTTACATCAAAAAGGTACAACGTATAGCTCAGCAGAACTTTCACTGAGCAGCTTGGGCCCCTCTGTCTACCAGCTTATTGACCAAGATAGACATTAAGCTACATCACCCTGCCAGTGTAGGAAAGTCATGATGTATCCTGTCTTCAGCAAGCTTTTACTTATTTTTACAATATATTAACTACCACAAAGCAAAAGCAATTTTTTTTTCCCTAAGGAAAACAAACTAGGAGATTTTTAATATAAATTAATTCAAAACTAAACAATAAAATAAAAGCTAAAATTAAATACTTTGTAAGGAAGGAAGTAACAATAAAAATATAAGGAACTAGAAAAGTGTTTGAAGGAATAACTATCACTAGTTATTAAAAGAAACCAGTCCTGATGGTAATTAAGTGATTACATTAACAACCCTCATGCAATACCTTTGCTAAGAGACAACTCAAAAGAGAGAAATTATAGCACTACTTCTGCATTTGGGTTTCTCTCTGCATTGGGTATACACTTAAAATTCAGCCCAATATTTCTGCATCAAGATGCTTTGTATTTTACATTTATCAGCATGATAAGTTCATTTTAAGATGTAAAGAATTTCAGGATCACAGTGAAGGCTGTTATTGCAATAATTTGGCTTCGTGCCATTGGTACAATAAACCATAAACCCAGAAAGCTCAATTTAATTAAGTGTATTATGTCTAGCATAAAAGAATGCATTTAAATCAGTATTATTTGCCATGCACCAAAAAACAACATGCCAGCCTATTTTCATTCTGTGACTTCCACAAAGATACTTAACATTTAACTGCCCAAGAAAACATACAGTATATTTAAGGTCTCATATTTACAAAGACAAAACTTGAAGACTAAAAGTGGTGCAAATAAATGCTGTCAGAAGACCAGATCTCCTATCGTATTCTTTATTGTGTATAGGCTTAAGCTTCCTCACAGCATATCTCATACAGTATCTGACAGAAACTTAACTTGAACATTTCGACTTACTTGAGCTTGTACCAAAACCTTTATAGATGATTAAAATAGAACACCAAAAATACCTTCTGTCATCTGAAACTGGCAGGCAAAAATCACTATCTAGATTTAAACTGAACTCTGCCACTTCTGTAGGAATTTAGTGCAACTCCTGTCTACTTTGAATGAATTAACGTCTAAAACATGGTCACACTATCAAGTATGAATTTCTCAGCAGTACGTAAATTAAGAGAATTACCTCTTTTTTGTTTCTCTGAATGTTGGGTAAGGTACCAAATGTCACCTAAAGGTGATAAACAGAGAGTCATCTTGTTACTCACCAATAAAGTAGTTGTTTCCTAATGCAAGCATTTCTTCAGAAAGTACAAGTCCACCCAGTGCCTGGAGGAGAGTGACACTTCTGCCATCAATGAGTGAACACTGCTTAAATCCAGCAGTTGTCACCTTCCACAGCAGGATAAGTGAAGCAGTAGCATCTTGTCTTATTCTAAGAAAATAAATGACAAGAATATTTACATACAGTGGGGGAAATTGGTCTTATAAGAAAGTACATCAGAACAAAAAAAGCTTATTATCAGAGGAGTACTTAAATATGGTGAATATGGAATCACGAAAAGCTCTGAAGATTTTCATTACTTCCACCAAATTTAAAATATTTTTAACAGTAATATCTGTATAATGGTATACCTAAGCAGATTTAATCATACAGAGTCTCAGTTTCTCATACTGATGGACACCAACTTATAGTCCAATAATAGTTTTATATAAAATGCTACCTAACAGTAGTCTTGCTCACTATTTGTATTTATGTCTTTTTAAATAGTAGCTCCATCCTACAGCTAGAATGCTATCATTTTCTGCAACTGAAACACAGCCAGCCCTCCTACCTGCTGAAGAACATTCATTCAATACAGGGGATGCTGGTAGAAATCCTCTTTCGTTTGCTATACCAGATCGAAGGCTCGGAACAGTTTATTCTTATCAATCAAATGAGTTGTGTAATGCTTTCAAGGTCACTGAGTTCATGGTGCCTTCCTGAATATTGACAGGTTGAATAAGCATATACAACTGCTTATGTACTGTCAGATCCACTAGGGAGCACTATATCTATATTGGTGTTGCTTTCCTCCTAGGATACTTTTTTCCACTAATTTCAATAAAGAAAAAAAAAAAAAAAAATCTATCTGTAGCATTTCTGGCAAGATCCCAAAAATTTGCATTAATTTCACCTAAATGGATCACCGTTGAGTATGACCAATCCTCCCAAAGTTCAATCACAACTCGTAGCCATCCTACTGCTGAAACACTGCTAATTCTCTCTTGCTGAAAAGAGGCCCCCAGATACCAGGGGTAGACACTCTGTCTGCTAAAAGTGTTGATTCTACAAAAGCACAGTGTGGTGTTCCCCATGACAGTTTTTTTTTTTTTAAATTTTATTTTTATATTATATTTTTATCAAATATTTTATATATGTATACATCCATTTATTTATTTAACAAGAAATGTGAAGGTTTCTCATTATACTTGACATGAGTTGATAAAATACTGTGACCATAGCAGATAAGTAAATTTTTGACAGTATTTTGGGTCAACTAACATTAAACTCCATCACTACTCCCAGAGCTGAATGTCTCATTTTCAGTAACAACTTCAGTTAATATGACAGCAACCATTTAGGTCACCCATAACAATCAGAAGAAAAGAAAATTACTGAATGGAATTTTTTTTTGTTGTTTATGTATTCAGCCATTGAACCAGAAATGTTATTCAGGTCTTTAACAAAGGAAATACAATGGAATGAAGATAGATATCAGCTTGCATTAATCTGCCAAAATAAAAAGCTACAAAAGGTAGACAGTATAAAAATGACAAAACCAACACTATGCACTCCGCAAACTCATTTATAATGAGGACATTCCATCATGGGTCTTAAATACAGCCACAGAATCTACAAACGTCAGCTTATTCTTGATTTAAAAAAAAACAAAACAAAACACACACATTCACAGATCTCCTCCCTATTTAAGCTTCTCATGAATGAGAACGATTCAAAGTCCCGTGGGAAGCATAGGACAGCTCCCACGTTTAACAGTTACAGCTTCAAACTGTCTGCAGCTTGTCTGCTTGCAGCAGTTTGTTTTTTTCCAGTGAGCAAGGCCTTTTTTAACTGAAAGCTGGCATTCTGAAAGATAAGATGACAGTATGAGAAAAATGGGCTATTTTGGGAAAATGTGAGCCTAAAATTGCAGTAAAGCTGTGAGCCAGAGAACTGTGTTGGCAGATTTTTATTTGAAATCAAGTTTTCAATAGGAAATACCTCATATCAGCTGACAGAATCAGATCTTTCTAGGAAGTCAGGTTCTGTTAATTAAAAGTTACAAAGCAACCCTTTTATTGAAAAACTATGAGTTCGAATGTGTTTAACAGAGTAAATTCCAATTTTTTAAAAATGTGGTTTGTAAGACATTCACATCAAAGATTTCAGCTGATTGACAACACCCAAGGCAATATTCCAGAAATTATTTAAAGCATAAAATAAGTGTAATTATTTAATCAATAACTACTTTCCACCAACAAGTGCATCTTCATATTAAAGGGAAAAAAGTTCACTACATGAAGGAGAAAGGAAATATCACATCTTTTCAAAACTGACATCTTCAGAATATTTGTCCTGACTCCTCATGTATTCAGATGGCCCAGAGACGGTTTACATGCTTACATCTTCTGAAACATTAAATATGTGGGAGAAGTTACACCAAGCACAGAGCTGTCATAGCAGTGCTAGATACATGAAGGCTTTCTGAAATTATTTCATGTACTTTTAACCATTTGACAAAAATGAGTATCTGAAAAGCAGTTTTCTAAAATACCCAGGCAAACTAAAAGAAAAATGCTTTTCTATTCCATAAGAAATATTTTTACTTTATTGATGTATTCTGTGGAACTTCAAAGGAGACAAGACGGCCTCCAGCAGAGGTATTGGAACTGGCATTTCCACAAGCCACATCTGGAAGTATCTGAAAATAAAAATAGTTTTATTTAATACTGAAGCAGAAAATATGACCAAAGAAAATATAATCTTTTTAATAGCACTAATGATACAGTAATCATCTTTTAATGATGGACCAAAACATTTACTAAAGTATTTATGCTGTCATTAAATGACATGAAAATTCACATAAACATCCTTTCCATTTTAACAAAACCTTCCTCCACATGGTCATGCACAGACTTCTAAAAGTATCTTCCTTTAAAAGTGACCATATAATTTGAAAAAGATGGATGGGCTTCTAGTCTTGTGAGTTAGTAACAAAAGCTCTAACATTTGCCACTTCCATAAATATTGCATCACTAACAAGAGATTTTTGAGGATTTATAACAGCAGACACTGATATTCTCTTTCTACTATACAGAAATGTGTTGGGTGTTTTTTTTTCAAACTCAGATTACTTTTAAACATAGTTTCTGCCTTGCTCTAACAAGGCCTAAAACTACTCTTTCCAAGTACAAGTTGTTTCAACTAATGATATTTTCAGATGGAGAAAAATGACACAGTTGAGAGCAGAGGAACTGATTTGCCTAGTCTATGATAACCAGCTGGTATGGAAATCGTGAACTAGAGCAAGAAACAATACAGAATGCTATATGACAAAGAATCACAGAATGGCTTGGGATGGAAGGGACCTTAACAATCATTTAGTTCCAACCTCACCATCGTTGGCTGGTTGCCTCCCCTCAGATCAGACTGCCCAGGGCCCCACCCAACCTGGCCTTGAACACCTCCAGGAATGGGGCATCCGTCTGGGCAGCCTGCACCATGTTCTCATACACTCCGAATAAAGAATTTCTTCGTAATATCTACCCTTATCTCCCCTCCTTTACTTTAAAATCGTTCCCCCTTGTCCTATCACTATCAGATCACATAAGAAGTCAGTCTCTCCGACTGATAAGCTCCCTTTGAGTACTGAAGGCTGCAATGAGGTCTCCCTGCAGCCTTCTCATCTCCAGGCTGAGCAAGACCAGCTCCCTCAGTCTGTCTTCATAGCAGAGGTGGCTTCCTCTGGACCCACTCCAACGGATACACATCATGTAGAATAATAATTTATTAGGGTAGTTTGAAAACCATTATTATTTTCAGTGACATCTTCATTTCACATAAGTAATAATTTATATGGCATAATTGTTTTTTTCTATCGCTTACATTATCTGTAGTTTTAATTAAGTAGTTCTCACGTTTCTTCATCAGCTTACCTATGAAATATCACCCTAGTGAAAAAAAATCAGTGTCACCTTAAAATTAAGGTTAAGCAGATTTTGCAACATTATTTTTTCAATCATCTGGAATATGTGTGCAATCTTTTCACATTAGCCCTACTGACAAAGTGAAAACTGACGCCTGACACACTGCCATGAATTAATCACTCATTACTGAAAAATCAGAATCTAATTTCCAATTTTATTTATGATTCACATGTTAAATGCTACCATGGAATATCTGTGAAAATACAAAAAACAAAAGTCCAGAATATGATACAACAAATAACTGTTAGTGGACTCAGAGTTGACTTTGACTCAGACAAGAAAAATTCTCAGTATTCACACCTCCCCACAAATGTACATAATTACTCATTTCTTCATTGCTGAATTATCTTGCACATATAATATGTATGCAGTTTGTGAAAATAAACACGTAACTTATGAAAATAAAATTAAATGCATTTTTTTTTAAAAACTCATCAAAAAGAAAAAAGATAATATACCTAATAAAACTTCTGAATCTTGGAAGTCAACATTATTTAGTTACCATTCAAAACTTGATGAAATTAAAATGAGTTTGCCTAACACTCTTCTTATATACTTTCCCATATTCATAATATTTTTTTCTTTGAGAATCTGAATGTCTCAGTGTATCGAAGTCTTTATTCTCATACTCTTATAGTGCATCTAACAACATATTCAGTGTTAGAATATATTTTCAGAATGTCTTGTATCTACTACCTTAGATCAGAAGCAGGAAAAAAAGGTAGTTTAAGCATCTCATTTACATTACTATTCTATATTAGAAGCTTGGAAGTAAAGAGCATACAACTCTTTGAAACTTAAGGAAAAAAAGCTCATGAAGCAAAAGTGGCTGCATAACATGAGCAATTAACCATGTGAAAATGGGCAATTTTTCAGAACAGTTATCAAAGCCATCAGAAGTAAGGACTGTTCAGCATAAAAAGCACAAGGAAATATTCTTTGGTAACCAAGAAAAGCAAAAACCAAAATGCATGTTTGACTCTTCTGATAGGATGATTTGTAATGTTTGATTTCCTTCTCCAAGAAGGAACACCATTTATAACTGGCCCTGATTTCATGCACTAAGAACCTCCTAAAATATTGATCTAAACCAGTAGGATGTGAAATAACAGAATTTTAGAGCAGCTGAAACTTCACTTTTTTTCTATTACGAAAAATGGAACTTGGATCAGACAAAACATACAAGAAGAAACAGCAGCATCCATAAGGAACAGAAATGGTGCCAGCTATCCTATTTGAGACAAATACTACAGAGACAAAAATGACAGCTTTGACATCTAATTTAGCAAATAAATCACATAGCTTTTCCACAGCTCTGGGAAGCTTGTATAAAGATTTTTAAGCATGTCTCTCTCCTGTCTGAAGAGAACTCCCTAAGAACTGAAAGACTGAAAAATGAGGACAAAGAAGACAAGTACATTACAATAATACCGGGCAGCCAGAAGATGAAAACAACCTGTGGGTCTCCCTCTAAGAAAGAAAAAAATATAGTAGGAAATTTAAAACAGAACTCAGGAAAACATAATGAAATTATTTTCAAAATGTAAAATAAAGAGCACATGATAAACTCTGCCTTACTATTCTAATTGCTCTTTACATTTAAAAGTGAGATGGCTAAAGTCAAAAACACAAACAGACCACTTAAAGTCATTTAAAAATAATCTATGGGAAAAAAAAATCATATGATGGCAATGAGATCAAACTCTTCCAAAATTCCCTTCTGCATTCAGAAGCACAGAATGTTTAAGCCAGAGAGGAAGTTCCTCAGGGAACAGAACATAGACATAATACAAATGATGCAGCTATTTTAAAAATAGTTGCTAAAGAAAACAAAATCTTCATGCACCTGCCGGAGCCTGAGGCATGCTTAGGAGCTGCTTACAAAGATAATCTCCTACATCAGCACAGAATATTCTGAAGAGTTTATGCTCCTCAACACAGTACTTAGAGTTTGGGAATTTTTGAACTATTGACATGAAATATAGTATTCCTGTTTTTGTATTATATTCTGTAAATTTGTATCTAAATTACATTATTGGTGGATTTCTTTTAAACAGTGAACTTAATACACAAAATCTATATTTTTGTTTCAAAGACATTAACAGTGTTAACATCTTGAGTCTTTCTATGACAAAAAGAAGAGAATCATTTGAGAAAACAAGAGTGGAATCTCCTGAAGAGGATCTGTTCCTACAACTTCTAGCTGGACTTTAAAAAACAACAGTGACTTGGCTGGAAGATTACTTAACCAAGCCAGAATATCAGTATTGATGAGATTGAAAAGAATATCAGCTGCAGCACCTAAGAAGAGTTAAACAGACTCTGCTTTTCCATATTAGATCTTTTCTGAAAATATTACATAGTGTGAACTGTGCAGATATTTTTCTGCCATATACACCAATATATAGAAAGAAATACACACACCATTCTACAAGTCCTGCAACACATTACAACACATCACAACACCTGCTTTTATTACCTTGGTAGATTAAGCATATTAGCCTTCAACTTGATGAGGCTAAGTAACACAGAGACTCTTAAGTCTACATTTTTGCTAGAATACGTATATGCTATCTTGCAGTACTGAAAGTAGTTCTCTGAAGATATTTGTTGAAATGAAGTTTCCTTGCACATTTCTTGGACGGCTGATCACACAGACATTTGTATTTCCACAAAGCCTTATGCACACTGGCAAACTAATTCCTCAACAGTGCAAAACACAGTCACAGTGCTACAGCATTGTGTCCATTTGTTTGATATCATAACCCTTCAAGTTTAAAGGATTGCAAAAATATTTTACTTCTTACAAAACACTCCATACTTTCTTCTGATTTAATAGTAAGTGGAATCACCAAATTCCCATTATCCTTATCAATTCTTCACTACTCTATTAACAAGATATTAATGAATATTTCTGAATACTAATGAACACTTCCAAGCACTGGAACATTTTGGCCAAGTACACTGAGGACTCTCCAACCTTGGAGATATTCAAGTCTTGACTGAATACTTCTGAGCAACCTGCTCTAGCTGCCTTGCTTTGAGCAAGAATGGTGGATGGACTGAACAATCTCCAGAGTTCTCTTGCAAGGCCATCTAGGCTGTGATTCTGTGAGAAAAAAAATTCATCTGATAAGGCAGTTGGTTGCTATCTCTTTCTTGTAATTGCCACTGCCATTTCAGTGACACCACAGCATATACAAAACTCTATTCCAACATAGTAGGAGTGATTTTTTTTTTAATAGAAACATCCCCAAACATTACTCAAATAAGCAAACTCATGCACACACTAGTATATTTTTAAGTTACACTTTCCTCCTCTGTGATCTCTGATGGTTCTCTGTTTTTAATTCTGACTCTGAAACCTTTCTCCAGTTTTCTCTTCTAATGGGTGAACAAGGAAATCTGCTTAGCCTTGAAGCCAAAGCAAAGTTGGGAAGATTGGTCTGGAATTAAACAGATCACATGAATGCACACATCATTCCCACACATTTTTCTGGAACTAAATAAAAGAGATGAATATAAACTTATCTTACAGAAGAGTCAAGACTCTTTGGGGGCTGGAACTAGATGATCTTTAAGGACCCTTCCAACCTAAGTCATTCTACAGAAGTAGTACTTAAAAGGAAAAAGAAAAAAAAAAAAAGTAAGGTCTGTGCTTAAAATTTTAAACAGATTTGAAAAGACACTAGCTTAATAGAAAGGGTAAGAAAACTGATCCTTTGAGAAAAATAAGACTGCACTCGGGTGGCCTCCCATGAAAATTCACATGGTCATTAAGAAAGATGGCCTTTCCTCTTCAGCAGCACAGAAACAGAGGAGATGAATGAGGTATGAAGAATGCTCTTGCAAATGCTTTTTCAAACCTTCTTCCAAATGATTGTATATTAACTTTAAATTCAATAAAGTAAGTTTCAAAAATTACAGTTTTGCCCTTTCTAAACATATAACTAAATTTCTATCAAGATAAGGCCTGCAGAATTTCTTCTTTTCCAAATCTCTAATGGTGATGAGAAGTATCTTTTATTTTCTAAGAAATATAAAGCATTTGTCAGCTTTCTTTATGCAAGAGAAAAATACTACAGAGAATTTAAAGCAGGTATGATGGGGACTAAAAGATCCTGAACTGCTGGAGTCAGAGAAGTGAGAAGAGTCACAGGAAAAGAAAACCCAATGTAATAGAATGTGAAATGGGAGATCAATTACTATCTTCTTTTAGTCAAAATGCCAATCAATAAGCCGTGATCATTCCAGCACAGAAATCCCATTCAGGACAGATTTATAAAAGAAAAGCAATCCCCTTATCCGGCTGCATGGAAAAACTACTGCTTCCAAAAAGCTGGTGTCATTTAGTTTAAACCCCACGAGTTTATTTGCCTCTACCCTCGAGAGTTTCATATGGGATGATTCTTGAAAGAAAACCAGAACAGAAAGAAAATGAAGGCTTACATCTAACATATCTCACCAGTGGGAGAGGAGAGCAGAAGTGTTTAGAGTAGGAGTGCCTCTCTAAAGAGCACCAAGGGAAGGCTGACAGACTGAGTCCAAAAACAGTATCAAACGAAGAAGCCTTGCCAGCTATTGTAGCACTGAAATTTAACACAAGGAAGTCTGCATATCTACCCAGAAAATTCCGTCAAAGGCATTTTTTGAGTATAGCTCAGCTCATCCGAGCCAAAGTGGCTTTGAGTAGTCAGCAGTCACACTGCCAAGAGGATCTACTAACCAAAGATGCTGATACACAGCAATCTCCAGTAACACTAATAAATTTTTTTATTCATGCCACAGGTTACTACTATTAATATTACATTAAGTAGTAGATGCTTATCTAGCTTAGTAGGTTATCTTACACTCTCAGATAAATGACCAGGGTAATCATGTTAACCAGATGCCTTCCTGTATCAAGCTGACCACCAAAATGAGGGCCACATTCATAAAATCTTCCAATAAATCTTTCAATCAATATTATTTCCTTGAATGGTCATTTTTACGCCGTAGTGTGTGGAGCTGTTCTGAATAATACAGATAAGCATCATGGAAACAAGCTCATCAAGCAAAAAAATCCACATCAACAGATCTTGAAGCGAAGATTACAAGCTCAGGTCATTGGAGAGGAAGCTAGGATGTAAACTGAGCCAAAGTCTGTCAGGTCAGTCAGCAGAACTTCTTCTCCATGTACTTTTGCATCAAAACAATGATGCACCCATAGGCTATTTCAACAACAACAACAACAAAAAACAGATGATCTTTTAGCATAGAGAATTCACTCAAGATTCAAAGGTCTCCCTTTCAAGCAGAATTATTCCTTAAGCATATCCATTTGTTGCAGTACATAAGCACCCTCTTTCAGAAGCTTCCACCTGGACCAGCCACACTAATTTAAAGTACATATAGTATACTGACTAAAAACCCATATAAAACAAGTTTTATCCACATTACAAGGAGAATTACAAGTTTATTGTAGCTCTAATCACTAGTTCCAAAGCCTAGAATCTTAGCAATAGCATTACAGTATAAAAAGGTTAGTTTAGGACTCATGTGGTTAGCATTCTAATTCCTGGCCATGTATCTGGCAAATCACTTTACTGCTCTGTGCTTCAGGATCTCCATCTACAACATGTGAATAATACTACTGATTTCCTTTGTAAAACAATTTGAGAGCTATTAAGGGAAAGTAATATATAGGAGTAGAACACTGCTATTATAACAGTTGATTTTTACACAGCAACCTTTGTTGAATCTATTATTTGATTAGGATTAGGATGAGATCATTCCTTTTTTCCCTATCCCTATAGATATTATTCACTAATATCTATCTTTTCTACACTATAATACAAAAAAATCATTGGACTGGGGAAGTTTCAATTGCTAGTTTTATCTGTCTTGCAAGTGGAACAATTAATTTAGTTGCCCAAAGCAGGAAAAAAAAAGATCTCTCTTTTGACACCTGAGCACAAAGATAAACCCCTGTTATATTTCAGAAATCATCAGTCTAACATTTTTCTCTTAATGGTCTGTGTTTGTAGACCTTAGCCTGTTTATCAGGAAAAGACAAATTTGTTATAGCAAGATCAGTGAGAGAAGTGTTACAGTATCCAAAGACATCTGCATGTTGTCTTCTGGTGCAAGTCTTAATGGGAACATTTGGTCAAGTACACACTGCAAAGTACGTCCCTAGCATTGAAGAATGCAGAAAAAACGTCCAACTGCAAACATACGTCGTGCCTCTCTTACAGCATTAATTTCTCTCAGGAGTTACCCAAACTTCCTGAAAGAGCTTCCATGGAAAATTCATCCTTGGAAGACCATGAGAGCATTCATATGGTGAGATTCTGGCAAAATTTCTCTCTGAGTAGGCCAACAAGAGTCTTCACTTGTGGTATCAGCTTAAAGTGAAAAACAGGCCAACTTGGAAAGCTGACAAACAAACAAACAAACACACACCAAAAAGCAATAGCAGCCTTTTACACCTCCTAATCTCAAGATCAAAAAGTAGATTTTTGCAATAAAAAACTAAAGTTATTTCATTTTATTTTATTTTTGCTTATAAGATTGTGTAATTTAGGAACGAGCTTGGCAAAACTTTTAAAGCTATGAAGAAATGTAGTATTTTCCTGCTTAACACTGAACTTTTTACTCTTAAGACTTCCACCAAAGAGGCTTTGAAACACAGACCCTCAGGCATACCAGATCTCCCTTTGGTTTAATATAAGATCAGAGACAACGTCTTGAATTAGCAACTGGAACGTTTCTTCCAAAGAAGAATCTCTCCCTTCCAAAGAACAGAAGATCACCATACTATGTGAAAAATACTGTGAAAAACACAAGACCCATTATAACAAATTAAAAACACATAAAGACAAGTAATTTCTGTGATAGTGTAGAGTATCAAATGCATATTACTAATGCATATGCAAATGCATATTACTAATGCATTTGTGATTGGTAAGCTATATGTATTTCTCAGGAAAGAGAAGACATAGACAAGTGAATTTCGATTATTAAAACACCCAATTCACAGATTGTGAAGAATCTGCTTGAAATGCTTACTGAATCTATCTGAAACACAAAAAAAGTAAAGAAATGTTACTTATACAATACCAGATCACAGATTGAGGAACACACACGAGGCAAGGCAGGCGTACCAGGAAGGACATGCCCTTAATTGATCAGGACATTGAAAGCACCCAAGCAGAGACTGCATTGCATTTAAACTAATAAAAACAGATCATTGTTTGTTTCTGCTTCAGTGCTTTCTCTCCAATCTTCACCATCAGTGCCTGAGATGTTCTACTGTAAAATAGATATGGGTAAAGATATTTCAAAAAATAAGGCTTGTTTCTCCAGATATTGCCTACCAGAACTCTCACTGAAACAGGGTACAGCCCTATAACTACTTATATATAGATTTCCCTAAATTTACTTTGTATTTAGAGACATGGGATCATATGAATGACTGGAATGAAACATTCTCATTTTGAGAAAATACCCAATGCAGTATTTGTGAAAGGCCACCCTTAAGCTTTAATAAATACCTTTTTTGTGTGTGCTTAATTTTACCATCAAATTAACTCAGGGCAGAAACCATATCTTCAGCCCACTAATGTAGAGAGCCCTGACATCACTGCACAAGTGACAATCCAACCATGACAACACTTAGAGGCAATTTTCTGTGTGCTTTTTTTTAAACAGAACATTCTCACCTCGATTTCATCCCATTTCAGGTCCACAACTTTCTGCCCCGCCCTTGGCTGCCACGTAGGTAGCGTCACTGTTGCTCGTGAGTGAGGCAGAATGACGTCAGGCTCCAGCGTGGAGGCGACAGGCCTGCTTTGTCGAGGAGATGATGCCTCTGTCTGCTCAGGGAGCGGAGGGCTGTGCCGAGAGCGCTCGCAGTTCGCTCCTTCATAGCCATCACTGCAGGCACAGAGGTAGCCATCCCCACTGGTGCTGCAGTTACCATGGTGACAGGGGTTGCTGGCACAAGGGTCTGAAATGAACTGAGGAAATAAAACATCATATAGGTCAATCACCGCATATAAAAGATTTATTTATGAGCTTTAGAAACACCGTAAAACAAGATTCTTTCCCCCTTCTGCATTTACCTTCCAAACATATTTAAGAACCAAGCTCATCTTTGATACAACTTCAAGGAAGCAAATTCAAAGGATTAAAGAAGAATATTAACTAATCTATATTCATCACTGCTCTCAGAATACTCCATGCAAACCTCACTGTTAACACATCCAAGCAACGTGACAAACATGAAGTAGAAGCATGGCTACCACTCACAGTCTGTAATTTTCAAAACAATCTTTGGAGTAATCTAACCAGGGACAACACCAAAACCGACAAATGTGAGGCAGTAAGAGCAGTGGGAATATGACACAGCGCTCACACAGGTCACCGTGTCAGGAAGTAGCTGTGCATTGTCAGAGCTAAGTACATCATGTAATCCTGTTTGTGGACAGAAATTCAATTTTAAAACTGCTGGGCCTTTTGCCTGTACTTCATTTAGTGGGTCGCAGTTTCAGAATCTTACTCATTCTGGTGCTGAAAACTTTGTAACAGGAATTACTGGGGGGGAAGCTTCTTTTTAAGGCAGCATTTGTAATAGATTAGAACAAGATAGCGTTCGGCGATGTGAGAAAAATCCTGCTCTACACTTGCCTGTTTTCTTCTGATTCCAGCCCTAGATTTATGCACAGCTAGCTTGTACTCCATTTCTTAGGTCATCAGTGACTTGAAGGCTATATGCCTCTTCACTCCTCCATGCAGGTGCCTGCCTCTACAACTTACAGAGCACATCTACAGACCACTGCCAGGTTTCACCTGATGAGCTCAGCCTCCTGGGGCAGGACAGACCCTCCGTTTGTGGTCACCCTCACAGCGCACACTCCGACATTTAGCACTGCTTTTTGCCATCACATCAGTGTTTTTGTTTATCCTGGAAATAGCCTCCTGATAGCACCTATGAAACTTTTGCCTTAGTCAGAGCTACATTGCACTGCTGACTCACTGTCATCACTTGAGCAACTAATACAGACAGGCAGTTCCCTTGATTTGTCCTCACAGTGATAATCAATCCACCACTGCAAAGAGACATCATTTGTCTCGACAAGCAAATTTCAACCAAGTGGCCCAGCCCCCAAAGTTAGCCAATTCTTTCCTGCACAATATCCCACTCCTTCCCTGATTAAGCAATGCTGCTTCTTATTCTATTTCTCACTACAGCACTACAGTTAATGATAGTTTTAACAAATGTTTAATAATAAATAAGAATTACATAAGCTGTATATATCTTTAATGCTATAATTGCCATCCCTCTAGAAATAACCAGGAGTAACTTCACTATTAGCAAAACATATCAGGAACTTAAAGTCCATAATTTCAGAATCTTTGGGGACAAAGTAATTACTGGATCTACACTTGGAATTTTCCCTTCCCATCTGTTCAAAGCCCTGGTACCAGGGGCACCAAGTCCTAATATTAACTCTTCCTTTTCTAATACTGTTCTTTTGATGACCTTGGCTGAAACTTTTTCTTTTAATGGAAATTTTGTGTATTCCAGCCTCCGTAATAGCTTTTGAACAGCAGAGGAAGCATTATTATGAATGTCAACTTTGGAAACAGTTAATTATGGATGTTAGATTTTCTGCTGACTGACGCAGAAGAGTTAGAGGCCACACAAGAAAATCTAAATATATCTAATATATCAAAATACTGTCTAAAATATACAGTATGCTCATTTATCTTGCCGTTCAGTTGTAGCTATGGATGTTATTTACTTTGCATGGGGACACATCTCATACATATTAGGTGATACATTAGACATCAGGCACCAGCTCTGACTCTTTTCACTTTTAAAAACAAAGCGTATATTGAATTTATATATACTTCACATATCAAATCAAAGTGTGGATTTTTATGACCAGGTTGGCTTATCTCCTTAAAGCTTCTTTCTCCTTCAAATCAGCAGAATAAGTAAATTCTTAGAGAACTCCTTCTCGATCAGCAAAATCACAGCTATATATGAGAGAAAAGAAGAAGGAAAGGGGAAAAGGATTTCAGGAAGGAACAAAACCCAGTTCTGTTCCACAGTTCATCAGCTATATTTTAAGCTTGCTCTCACTTCCAAACAGCAGAAATTTTCACAACACTTTCCCATCAAGACTGCTGAAGAAAAAATTGTTTCAGGGTAAAGAAAGCCCAGACCAAATCCAGTTTGCAGCAGTTTTTTCTCATTCCACTGGTTTGAACCAGATCTGAGTTTCAAAGACACACAGCTCTCCTACTGTTGCATAAGCTCTTCACTCACTCTTTCACAATCTATCCAAAGTCACATTAACTCATTTTCATTAATGAATCAGCATTCATTTCATTCTGAGGAAATTTAATTATTCTTGTCACACTTGAAATGTTAACACAAAAGGAAACAAGGTTTTACAAAGGGCACTTCTTTTCCTCTCAGGTCAATATATCCATTCACTTTATGATCAAAATAATCAAAAGTGCACTTTGATGGACATGTACATGCTGTAAACTGGCTTGAGCTTGGCCAAGAACTGAATGGAAATGGTTGTGCTCAAGATAAGCAGAGGTTATTGCAACGTGTCACACACTGTGTGCCTCTGAAGCTGTCACTGACAGCCCACACACATCAGTGAAAACATTTAAGTCTGTTTGGTTTACATGAAGAATTAAAATAGATGAGTGTAGATGGAGAAGTTCACCATGTGCTTTCTTAGAGCTGAGCTTCATGAAGTACTTCACAAGATTTAAAAATATGATTCTCTTTTCTAACTTACCATTAATTCTATAGCTCTTACTTTTTCTTTCACGAAGCTTATCAAAACAAAGGCAGGGCAGAGAGGAGCGATTCCCTCCCATGTCCTGCTGCCACCACTCCTTCAATACAGCCCAGGATGCAGCTGGCCCTCTGGGTTGCACACTCATGTCCACTGCTACACAGAGAAAAGGAGGATGCAAGTAACAGGAATTTGATCACTGGCTATACGTACAAGAATGTAACATAACATCTACCAAAAACCTTTTTTTTTTTCTTTTTAAGATGTGGAATTTTAATAATCTTCATTGAGGAAGTATAATTAGTATGTAGGTCTCTTGTTTTCATCCCCATTTCTCCATTTCGTAGTCTGTTTTCATAATACACTCATTGACTAAATAGGTATGGTTAGCAGTTGCAGTACCTAGCTGACAAAGCTGAGTTAAATTATAACATTTATTGTACATAATTACTATTTCATAAGCCTAAACAGATGTAATTATTTGAGCATTTTTCCAACAAAAATCCTAAGATAGATGCATACCGAGGGCGACCTTGATACTGCAGTTCATTTTCCAAAGGCAGATCAAATATAAACACAGGTATGATACAAACAGTGGGCTTGTATAAGAATCATATTCACAAACACAGATTGTTCACCAGTCAGTCCAAATGTTTCCTAAGGTTTTAGTTTCCAATAAAACACTGCAAGATGTATATCTGCAAGATATTTTCACAGGTACTCTTTGTGGAGGCACCAATCTGTCATTTAATGCTCATTTGGTGTCTCTTCAGCATAGTCCCTCTTGTTCAGCCTGGACACAATTAGGACACCTCAGAGAGGTTAAAGAAATAAAAAGGTAAATCTAAAAAGAAGGCCAAAATGAGCTGCTGAACACTATGCAAAGTCTTTCTCCCACCTGCAACTCTCCTCTTAGATGTGTTAACACAAAACTAATTTTTGGCTCTCTTTTTAATGTCACTTCCTGCCATCACAGACAACACTATACCATCTTCCAGCTTGGCTTCAGTAAAATACGGAAAGAACAAAGTCCAGCCATTAATTAGGGATTCAGCTAATTGTTCAAATCTGTTCTACACACTGACTGCTAATCTGTTAACAAAGCCAAGCTGCCACAGCAATGTCACAGGCTGCCATCTCACACTTGTCAGTAGCACCTAATGCCTTCAAAACAATGGTAGGATATTAAAAGTCAGCAGAGTCCAAAAGCCTCCAGGTTTGGCTCCCTGAGATGGTTTTTCCAATTACAGGATGAAAGCTTCAATTTTCAAATAAGTAAATTGAATTTAGCTGGTTGGGATTTAGACTAAATGCATCAGTTTGCACGCATTCAGGTAAAAAACATCTTAGGAGAGATTTATATCAGTAGAATAAAATGGCATCTCTGTTGCTGAAGAAATGCCCTAATATAGAAGCAGAAAACCAGGTAAAGATCATGGGAAGATCCACCCTGTATAACCTCCATTCTACATCACCAGCACTGAAAAAGGACCAGATGCCTCAAGTTCAAGCTATGCACTGTACATTAAAAGTTATCAACTTTTGAATACAATAAAAAGAAAAAAATTAAAATCTACAGCCTTAAGATATAATCTGTTTGTTTGAGATACAATAAAAATTAAAAAAATTTGAAACAGTTTTTTTTAAAGCACAACTGAAATATAACATGTTTGCATACATATCCATTTATGAAAAGGAAATGGAAACAGATTCAGATCTTCTACATAGCAATGAAAATAAAGATTATCTAGAAATGTAATCTCTTCAGAAGAATGGCTTAGTTATCTTCACCATCTGATTTAAATGTAGACTGATTCAGACCTTCAATCCACTGAAGTTTTAAATTCCATTCTATCACACATTCAACACTTACATGAATTAGGAAATGAAAGACAAGAAAATAAAAAAATTGAGACAACGAAAAAAAAAATAAATCAGCTCCTCCAAAGAGAAGAGTGTCCACAGAAGAAGCATTGGAATGAGTGTATCAAGCAAATAAATGTATTTTATTTTAAGGAAATATTTTTTGTGATATAATGTGACTCAAATAAGAATTTTGGTTCAATTTCTGGTTCTCAGAAACATCCAATGCAACGTGAGAGCAGTTAGACTCCTTTTCTTTTCTCTGTCTTATTAAATAAAAAAGCTCCCTGTCTCTTTTCTACCTGTAAAATTGAGATAATATTTCTTTC